ACACACACACACACACACACACACACACAAAGAATTTTAAAAAAAGCTCTGACTCCTATTTAGATCTAGAAGTAAAAATATGGACATCCATCATTTAAAAAAATGTTTAATTTCATTTGTTTTAGCTAGTACACAGAAATACTAAAATCGTTCACATTAATGAGGTAATATGTGTTGATATTATATGCATACATGCAAGGTTTAAGTCAACTTACACCCATGTGTCTCATTCTGAATGTTTAATAAAAGTCAAATACTTATCAATTCTAAAAAAAAAATCCTGTTGCTAGCATTCTGAAATGTACAGTGTAGTACTGATGGAGCTCCAGTCATATGTAGTCTGGGTCCTTTGTCTTGAAGAATTTGAAGAACAAAATTTCACAGCCAAGGAAGAAGGGTGAGAGCCAAGTACTGAAGTTTGTTTATTTAGAAAACCAGCAAAGCTCTCAGGGCCAGGAGGGCTCTCAGGGTAGGCTCCACCAGCAGTCTTTTGTCTAGGGGGTCTTTAGGCAATGTTTGGGCCAACTGGGGAGTATGTCACACACACACACACACACACACACACTTCCCACATGTCAGATACTTCATTGATCACCCTTGAGCTCATGCAGGCCAGAGGCCTATCAGCCAGAAGGCCAGTTATGGCTTGCACATGCTCAGAGGTGCCTGGTGGCTGACAATGAATTTGCATCACACTGTGAGTGAGACATTGCAAGACATCTTTTTTCTCGTCATTATTGCTGTATACGGTCTCCTTATGGTGCAACAGCACAGGACTTCCTTTTCCTATCTACCTGTGAGTTCCTGAAGATCAATCTTTCCCTATCTCCCCCTCCTCATTTACCTCAGTCTCTGGGAACCACCATTCTCTCAATTTCTATCATATCTATTTTTTTAGATCCCACAGATTAGCTCATGGGGTATCTGGCTTCCTGTGTCTGGCTTATTTCACCCAGTATAATGATCTCCAATTCCATCCAAGTTGTCACACAAAACAGAATTTCATTCTTCGTGGCTGAACAATATGCTATGATGTATGGGTAACACATTTTTCTTTCCCTATTCATCAGTGCCTGGGCACTGAGGTTGTTTTTCACTTCTGGGCTACTGTGAACAGTATTTCAATAAACAGGAAGTACAGATTACTTTGTTGTCCTCACATTATTTCCTTTGGATATATTGCCAGTTAGAGGATTGCTGAATCATATGGTAGTTCTGGTTTTAAGTTTTTGAGGAAACTCCATCCTATTTTCTGAGTGGCTACATAATTCATGTTCACACCTACATTGTACAAAGGTTTATTTTTTACCCACACACTCACCAGGGTTTGTTAATCTTTTTCATTTTGGCCATTCTTACTGTGATGAGGTGATGTCTCACTGTGAGTTTGATGCATTTTCTTGATGATTTGTGATCTAGGTATGTGTACCTAGATCTACTGCCAATTTTTTAATCAGGTTATTTTTTAAAGCAGGTTATTTTTGTTTGGCTTCATTATCCAGTTTTTGGAGTTCGCTTTACTTTGTGGATATCAACCTCTTTTCAGACAGATACAGTTTGAAAATATATTCTCCAACTTTACAGACTATCTTTTCACTCTGTTGATTGTTTCCTTAGCTGTGAAGATTTTTAGTTGGAAGTGATCTTGTTTGCCTACTTTTACATTTGCTTCCTGTTTGCTTTCAGTTTGCCAAAGATGGATGTGTTTCTTTCTAGGTCTTTATTTTGTGCCACTGGTCTATGCATCTTTATTTAAACCAGCACCATGCCAGTTTCATTACTACAGCCTTTTAGAATATTTTCAGTGATGTAGTGCAATGCTTTTTGCTTTGTTATTGTTCAAGGTATCTTATTTGTTCAGTTGATTCTTCTTTATTTGGGTACTGCTTTGTTAGGGTTGTGTGTGTGTGTGTGTGTGTGTGTGTGTGTGTGTGTAATTGTTTTTCTTTTTCTTTGAGGAATGTTATAGATTCATAAGGATTAAACATTACTTTTGTAAGGTCCACTCCTGGATGGTGGGCAGACTCCACCCTCCTAGCAGCCAAGTCTCTGCCCAGTATCTGTGTTACCAAGGCAACTGGCACACCTGGAAGAGGTCACATCTGCATCCTCTGAAGTCACATCTGGATTCGATGTGGCCACACCTTTCCCGGCCCCTTCCCTAGATAAGGCCTAGCCCAGGGCCAGACGCCCTCTTTCTCAGCTTCTTTCCCATGCACGCAGAGTGCCAACATGGCCTAATTCCATGTGCGTGGTGTTGTTCTTACACAGCCACCTCTTCTTTAAAAACCTTTGAGTAGTATAGATATTTTAATATACTGACCCTTCAATCCCTGAACACAAGAAGTCTAACCATTTTTGTGTGCATCCTTACCAATTTCTTCTTCTTCTTCTTTTTTTTTTTGTGGGTCATGGGGCTTGAACTCTGGGCCTAGGTGCTGTCCCTGAGCTCTTCAAGGCTAGTGCTCTACCACTTGAGCCACAGTGCCACTTCCAGTTTTCTGGTGGTTAATTGGAGATAAGAGTCCCATGGACTTTGCTGCTGGGGCTGGCTTTGAGCTGTGATCCTCACATCTCAGCCTCCGCAGTAGGTAGGATTACAGGTGTGAGCCATGGGCGTCCGGCTCATCCTTACCAATTTCTTTCATCAGTGCTACTTATCATTTTCTTTTGGAGAGTTATCAATATACTAATAAATGATACATAATGTTACAATAAATGATACATAAATCTATCATTTATGCCCCTGGGTAGCTAGAAAGTGGCTAATTGTAGAAGAACTTAGTTTCCTAATTGGTCACAGTTCCCCTATGGTTATGCTCTTGACAGTGCCAGGGACATGGAGACATTTTTATCATATATATCATTTTCCAGCCCTTCATTCTTTCAAATATAGTCAGAAATACTTTTTAAATTGATTTTTAATTCGTTGAAGTATGCATGTTGGAGCACACTGGTAACCCAGGTACTCTGGAGGCAAAGTACGAGGATTGGGATTTGGTGCCAGCCTGGAGGGAAGTGTAGATCTGTATCTGAAAAACAAGCTAAAAGCAAAGTCTACACGAAGAAGCTAATTCAATTAACAGGAATGATCTAATTTTTCTGAATTTAATAGTGAACTCTTTTTCTGAATTTCACAGTGGCACGCCTGAGGCCAGAGGATCGGAATGAGGAAACAACCATTAAAGTTCCCCAGGCTTGACCAAGCCCGCCTCATGAAGCCCTGCCAAGGAGAGGCAATTAGGGTCCTCACTGGAGGACTTGCCTCTCCCCTCTTGGCCCAATCAGAATATGAAGGGTGTACGACTCCCCCACCCCCTATTGTCTCAGGGCCCTACAGACGCCAGGCAAAATCCCAGGTATGTGCAAACTTGTTTGATGTGCTGGCAGGACAATCTACCTAAGCCCAGCTGTAAACATCCCATTGTGGGCCCAGCTGAAAAGCCCCCCCCTCCCTTGACCTGGTGGCTTTTTCATTAACCTCTGCCTCCTTGCTCAGACCTCATACAAAACCCAGCTCCTGTCCCAACTCTCTGGCACAACCTCCAAACCCTTGGGAAGGTCTGTGCCCCTCGCTGTTCCTCAATAAACAGTCCTCGCCCGTGGATGATGGAATCCAGCCTATTCCTTTGGCTTTCTCCTCCATTTTCCCAACAATCACAGGCCCTTTCTCACTGTCAGGAAAAGCATTCTTACAAGTCTGACCTCCAAATCTTACTGTGAATTCAGAAAATTCTTTAATTCTAAGTCTGACTTCTCTCATTCAATATAACAATGTAATAACAGTGGCAACTCTTACAGAGCTTCTTTTAGACAATAAAATATCTACTACATTACTGTGTGTATGGGAATGAGAGTAAATACAGATATTTAAAAGCTGGAAAAGGGCTGGGAAGCTGGCTCAGTGGTAGAGTGCTTGCCTTGCATGCATGAGGCCCTGGGTTCGATTCCTCAGCACCACATAAGCAAAAAAGAAAAAAGCCGGAAGTGGCGCTGTGGCTCAAGTGGTAGAGCGCTAGTCTTGGCTGAAGAGCTGAGGGACAGTGCTCAGGCCCAGAGTTCAGGCCCCACGACTGGGAAAAAAAAAAAGCTGGAAAACTCAGAACTATCCATTATTATAAGACATTATTATAAACTAGATGCCTGTTTGTTTTTTTCAAGTCTATCAGATTGGTCTAATCCAGTGTTTAGAGCAATCAGAAAGAGGGACACCATCAGAAAGAAGGCCTGGAAGAACGAGGACTTGGGGGTGTTTGGATCCTACTGCTTCTTTAAGTGGGCCTCCCACGCACAGTCCAGACAGACTCATATTCAATATTAGCAATGTGTGGTGTTTTTGTACATCAACCCATCACCTTTGATAATCTCCATTTTATATCTGTCCACTCAAAAGCCACAGTATGGATTCTTACACTCAAAGAACAAGATGGTTATTTAGAGTGGGTTGAGTATTTAGGAGCTATTGTGTAAGAACAATCACTTCCTATAATTCTATCATTTATTACTATTATGATTCTATCATTTATTGCTTAGTAGCCTAAATAGTGATATTTAGAATTGGAGAAATTAAAAGAACATGAGTACTTTCCTAACATATACCAAAGCACAAGAGACAATGCTAGTTCTACTAGTTCTACTATAAGTTTACTTCTGTGATGTCTGTGTAGAGTCATATGATCATGGCTACTGCACTTCCTAGCTTTACTTTTTACTTTGTTTTGGTTTTACTTTGTGCTGGTACTGGGACTTGAACTCACAGACCTCAAGCTCTCAGTCAGCTTTTCTTTGCTCACACCTGGGGCTCAACCACTTGAGGCACACCTGTAGTCCCTAGCTTCATTGAATTGTTCATGCACTGGTGAATGTGATAACTCATTAGGGAGGAAGTTGAAGTAAGACAAGTTGGAAGGTTTCGAAATGGTAGAAATCCCAGAGAACAAAACTGAAAGGAAATTGGCCTCCATGAGGGAAGGGTATAAAGGCAGTCACTCAACAACAATTCCAGTTCATTCCTGAGCCAAACTCTCCTTCTTGAACAACATGATGCTCAAGGTATTGTGCCTTTTTTATGTGCCTTGCTCCAAATTGCTTTTCCAGCTTACTTCTTCCTTTCTCAGTCTTCTCAGATGTTAAAGCGACCTGTTCTGCTTCAGGTATTGCAACTTTTCTCATAGCTTCTGGGCTACTTAATTAACTGCTTATCCATTCTCATTGGCCTTCTACAATAAGAGGCATTATTCTGCTACATAATACCGGGAATAAATGGTATATAACACTATGAATTATTGTAAACTTGTGGAATTTGTACCTCTTGGTTTTCTATATGTCCTTGATGACTTTTCCATACTCCATTGCTAATGATCTGTTGGCTATGTCATCTATGAGAGCTTTATGGAGTAAAAAGTGGTTGGACAACTAGCATATTTTGCACAGTGAGTTCACAAGAACTCTTGCCATTTATTTATTAGAGCTCTGCATCTTGTGCTTTAATCCATCTGTCACTGTATTTTGCTAAAAAAAAAAAAAAAAAAAAAAAAAAGATTCATATGCCACAAGAAAGTCAAGCAAACCAGAAAGAGATTTTAGATGTGAGAGTGTCACTCATAGACAGCAGAGAAGCTGAATTCATTTCCCTCTTCCTCCTTCTTCCTTCCATCCATCTTTCTTTTCTTCCTTTCTTCCACAGCCAGGGAGGGGCCCTTTGTCTTCTGGGTCATGAGTGGCACTCAGAACTTGCCAGGGGATCCTTCACAAGCCCCCAACAGCATGGCCTCCCGTAGATCGTGGGTGGGTTCATACTGGAGTGCCTCACCTGATTCCCAGGCACATATCAGTCCTTGAAACTCTGGGTTGAGCTTGGCAGATCATCAAGACAGTTCGTTTTCCTCCTGTCTTGCCTTCAAATGTTTAGCAGCATTAAAATCGGTGCTATGGTTATTCTCTTCCCTCATAAGAAATAGGCCAGCGCCATTCTCCCTCCCGGCCAGCTTTTCTCGTGCGTCCTTCCTCCAAGCTTCCCTCTCTTTCTATCAACCAAAGCTTCAGAGTCATGGATGACTCAAAGAGTCAGGGATTTCCTGACTTGAAAAAATCTGGAGTCTCTAACAATAGAACCAGATGATGGTCAGGGTGGAGACTTTTTTCTGGGCACTGGTTCCACCTTTGTAACTTTTCTTTGGCCCTGAGCTCTGTAGAAGGTATTCCCAGCCACCTCAGATCCCTAAACTAGCAATCCCACACCCTGCTCATTTATACTTGTAGATGGGGAATCTAATGCTCAGAAAAACAAAAGAAGTTCTGAAATCATGTCATCGTTAGAAAAAGACAGCTACTTACATCATATCTTACTAGGGGCTACTAGATGGTAGGCATATGCTGAAATACCCCTAAGGTTGAATGGTTTGTATTGATGTGTATGTATGGAGTGTGTGTGTGTGTGTGTGTTTAGCAGCCCTCTCAACCCTGGTTTACGCTGCTACCTCTGCCTCCACCCTCATCTTCATCCTCTGCATCTCACATAGCTTATCTCTGGGCTTTCCTAACCAGACCAGGTACCCCAGGTCCCCATCAGGTTTCAGAAGCATTGACTGCACCTCTAGTCATTTAAACTCCCTAGCAGCCATGTAATAAAAAGCAAAAAGAGACCAACTAAATTGGTATTTTATTTACCAATTTATCCTAAACATTATCAATATTGTTATCAAATATTAATTCAGTACGTAATCTATATTTTTAACTAGTGAGATGTGTTATAGTCTTTCCTGTCAACTAAGTCCTGAAAATTCAAGTGTTTATTTCCCTCTTCTGTCTCAGTTTGGACTGGTCATCTTTCCAAGTGCCCAGCAGCCATAAAGAGGAGTAATGCGATACTACTTACATACATAATACATGCTACATATATGACAGAAGCAACACATTTTTAAAAAATCACATAACTGGTTGGGAGTCACAGTAAAGCATTTACCTAGCATTCTCTAGACCTGGAACTCATTGCTCAACACCACATTTTTTAAGTCACTTTGAGAAGGGCACAGTGGCTCATGTTTATAATCCCAGCTACTCAGGGGGCAGAGATCAGAAAGATCACAGAAAAATCAACCCAAGCAAAATACGAATGAAATCACTTCTCAACAAAACAAGCAAGGCTACATAGGAGGCAAAGGTAAGAGGATCACAGTCAGAGGCTGGCCCTAGACAAAAGCATAACGCTTTTTATTTTGCTTTGAACTAAAGCAAAATATAAAATCAAGTAAAAGTCACCTAGAGATCTGAATCCAGAAACTGCTATACGAGGCTTCCCCAAGTTGTTATTCTGGAGAGAGACTAATTCTAGCCATCTAGAGTTAAGGCCAAAGATGTACCTTTGCAACAAGAATCCCAGATATCTCTCATGGTCTGCAGACTAACCTTTGGAAATGTAGCCTTAATACCTAAGTGCTCTGATTATGACAGCAGAGCCCCCCACTGGGGGATCTACTCAAGAGCTATAAAACTCAGTGAATTCACTTTGTTAGGTCTCACTTTCCTCACCCAAATGAGACTGATAGCCGCCACCCAGAGCCTTGGGGATGTTCAACAGTCAATGTATTTGAAGTACTCAGCACCGTGCCTGGCGCAGTCAGATAGGCCTCGTGACCAGCCTTCCCCATTGCTGGCATGGCCCTCTCTGCTCTCCTTTACTTCTTAGGCTTTCCCCCACCATTACCCAGCATACTCTGCTGCCACCACACGTCCTCAACTCGCCCGAGGGCAGAACATGTCTCCTGTGCTAGTCCACATCCCTGAGCTACATACACAGATTTTTAGAAGAGGAACTACATTTTACTCTTTTCCTCAAGGTTTCCTAATGGAAAGAAGTGTGTGTATTCCAAGTGGGGTGTGTCCTATTCAACCCTCTTCTCTTTGAAGTCTGTCACAGAGAGCTTCGCCAGCCTGATCCACGGCTTGAAGGCGGGACACCTGACGGACTCCGTCATTCAGAAGAGCAAGAGGATGATCCTGGACACTCTGGGTGTCGGGCTGCTGGGCACCAGCACGGGAGTGTTTCACAAAGTCAGCCAGTACAGTAAAGTAAGCTCAATGCTTATTCAAAAGATAAAAACAATGTACATGCTTGCCTATGCTGAAGTAGGCCCAGAAGTATGCACCTCCCTTTATTTACTCTACACTTCATTTTATAAATATCACTCCATGTATGGGCACCATTTCGATTCTCTCATTGATCCTCTCTTGTCATTACCTGATTTTTAAAATTCATCTACTACCTATATTCAGATGTAAGGTCATACACTAGGGCTCACAGTTTATTATTATTACAGCCCAAAGCACAGGCCAGCCTGCAAGTCTTCAAAGCAAAGGTAGCTATTACTACATAGCATTTGTTCATGGAAAGACTTGAAGATTAACTGATCCAAGGCTCTGAACAGAAAGTGGGCCTGGACACACGACAGAATCATCCACTCTCCATAGAATGGTTGGTCTACATCTCCAGTATCTAACCCCTCTTGGGTTAGATATGTCACAGTGAATTCAAAACCACATCTCTGGAGCACTTCTAGATCATGACCTAGAAGCAGCAATACCATCTCCTCTCCCTCCTGTGGGTAAGGTTGTAAATCTTTGCAGAAGGGACATCAAGACCTCTATCTACCACGTTTTTAAATAAGGGCTATTAATAGATCATCTCCAAGGCTGAGAAATCACTATTGGGCGCTGCCCTAAGACATTTGTGTTGATTCTGCATCACTGATGGGTGTTCTTCTATTGCAGATCTACAGCTCCAATACATCCAGCACTGTTTGGGGTCAGTCGGACTTCAGACTCCCACCCACATATGCTGCTTTCGTAAACGGTGTGGCTGTAAGGATGTTTACATATCTGTTCAACTATTAGATGATTGTTATAAGTTGACAGCCAGAAAATAGCCCTGAAGTTGTCTAACTTCCATGTCTTACATAAGTGATCATTGAAATAAGGGAGATGATGAGCCTTTCTTCTCTCTCGTGGAGAAATTCTAGTTTTCATTTCTTTACAATATGTTGATCCTCTTTGAGTTATGGAATACAGTAAATAAAAGGATGTAGGGTTTTTTCTTTGTGCCAGTCCTGAGGCTTCTACTCAAGGCAAGGGAGCTGTCCTTGAGCCTAGCCTAACACTAGAATTCTATCACTTGAGCCACACCTCTGCTTATGGCTTTGTGGTGGTTAATTGGAGCTAACAGTCTCATGAACCTTTCTGCCCCGGCTGGCTTTGAACCACAATCTTCAAATCTCAGCCAACTAAGTAGTTAGAATTACCAGAATGAGCCACCAGCACTCAACAAGGCTGTTTTTGTTTTGTTTGTTTGTTTGTTTTTAAACTCTCCCAGGTACCTCAAATCTCATCCTTAATTTTTTTTAAAGGATCAAACCCAATACCCAGACACAATTTATCCTTAATTCTTTCTGTTGTGGGTACCAGTTGCTTCTCTTCATTGATTTGACAGTATTTATTGAGAAAGAAATAATGGCCATATGGTGTCTATATTTTCTGAATCAAAAATCAATACTTGTCATCTGATGGGTCATTTTTATGTTTTTTTTCTGTGTGTCAGGGGGAGTATACAAGATATCATTTGGGCACAAACATGTTGGGATTCCTGAGACATTTTTATAGTTTATGAGGACAGTTGATCAAAATATAGAAAGGCAAACCCAGTGGTGCATTCAAAAGTCAATGACCAGCTAGCTGTGAGAAACACAGTACACATATCAAACTCACATAAAAATCTGTTTTCAAATGAACTGCTAGTAATTTTTTTAATATATGGGAAAAAACAAATGCCTGGCTTGGTTGAAGGAAAATAAAATCCTATAACAGAAAATAATGGCTTTCAAATACAGCTTAATAGTTCATCTAAAATTGAGAGATCTTGCACTATTCTTGCAAGCAAATGTTTAAAATTACTTCAGAAGAGAGACACACAACACAGCGTATGGCCTGATATATCATAACTGGAATGAACTTTAGATATAACGTGTTTACAGATGCAAGAGAAGAAGAAAGAGCAGCTTTGCAAGAGAGAATATAGGTTTTTTTCAGGGGCTCCAGCCATTTGGGCAAGATCTAAGGTGCCTGGGATTTGTAAGAATCTTTCTAAGGTCTAGCCCTCCTCTAGATAGAGACAGGGAGCCTAATGCCTAGTCCCGTGATTAAGAACCACAGCCAGTTTTCAGGTTTGAACATCAGCGAATCAGTTAAAGCAAAGTCACAGCAAAAATGGTTCATTGCTAAATTAGATCTTTACTGGCCCCAACGCCAATGCATTCAAGTAAATTCTGAAGGGAGTTGTTTGCACCTGTTTACACAGATTCACTCCATGGATTTTGATGACACTTGGCACCCTGCCACACATCCTTCTGGAGCAGTCCTTCCTGTTCTCACAGCTTTAACAGAAGCCTTGCCTCAGAGTCCAACGTTTTCTGGCCTTGACCTGCTGTTGGCTTTCAATGTTGGTGTTGAAGCTCAAGGCCGATTAATGCATTTCTCCAAGGAAGCCAATGACATACCAAGGAGGTAGGGAAAGCTCTGCTCCATTGAGAAGCAGCCACATTCCCCTTTATCTACCTGTGAGTCTCTCTGTAGAGCTGGTTTGGTGAAGTTCACAAGCGTGCTGGCAGATGTATCAGTATGGGTGAATACCAACCCTATGTCCATACATAGAACTATGACCTTAGAAGTACAGCAGAAAATTCCTTTGAGTTCTGGTCTATCACCCTGGTGTGACCACGAGTACTCTTGAGTCTTACTGACTCCATTCTCAGAATAGAACCTACTCCGATATTCACTAGGGTCCTTCAGCCTAATGAGAACATTTGGAGTACCCCATCCATGACTGTTCATCATGCATATTATAAATAGCCAAATGCTGGCTATATATCATAGGGCCCAATCAAAACATTGATTTTGCCTCTTGGGCCTGTGAGGAGAAGAATGTATTGGACTAATCTCTGGTGAACTTCCAAAGTTTCTACAAGAGCCTTAATTCTTACTGTTATTTCAACATTCAACAACTTTTACACTTATGGCAATAACTTGAACAGTTCTATTTAGAAAGAACTTGCTATTAGATACTACTGTAAAACATGTGATTCATTCAAAGTTCCTAAACCCTATGAGGTGAAAACTTTTTATCATAACCACTTATGTAAGAAAAAAATAATTATTCCAGCATATGGAATAACTCTCCTAGGATGACCCTGCTAATAAGTGTAAAGAAAGGATGAGATTTAAACCAAGGTAGTGTGCCTTGATTGCTGTACAACACTGCCCCCTGGTGGTGCATATTTGTAAGTCTCCAATCTGTATTGCTTTTCAGATTCCATCCCCCCTCCGTGGTAGGAACTTTGGGCAGAGCTGCCGCTGCGTCCAAGTTTTTAGGACTCAGCTTGACCAAGTGCCAGGAGGCCCTGGCAATTGCCGCCTCTTATGCTGGAGCACCCATGGCAAATGCTGCTACTGAGACCAAGCCCCTTCACATGGGCAATGCTGCCAGACACGGGATAGAAGCCACTTTGCTAGCCATGCTGGGTCTCCAAGGAAACCAGCGGGTCTTGGACCTGGAGAGGGGGTTTGGGGCCTTCTATGCCAACTATTCTCCGAAAGTCCTTCCGAGCTTGGATTCTCATACATGGCTACTGGACCAGCAGGATGTGGCCTTCAAGAGTTTCCCGGCACATCTGGCCACTCACTGGGTGGCTGAGGCGGCAGGGGCTGTGAGGAAGCACCTTGGGCCTCCAAGTGGAATCCTGTTTCCTGCTGCCCACATCAAGAAAATTGTGCTCAGGATCCCAGATGTGCAATATGTCAACAGACCCTTCCCAGATTCAGAGCATGAAGCCCGTCATTCCTTCCAGTATGTGGCCTGTGCCATGCTGCTCGATGGCTGCGTCACCGTCCCATCCTTCCACAAACCCCAGATCCACAGGCCACAGGTAAGAGAGCTGCTTGGGAAGGTGGAGCTGGAGCATTCTCCAGACAACCAGCCCAACTTCAACTCATTGTACTGTGAGATCAGTGTCACTCTCCAGGACGGATCCACCTTCACCGAGCGCTCTGATACGTTCTATGGTCACTGGAGAAAACCACTGAGCCAAGAGGACCTAAGAGGAAAGTTCAGAGTCAATGCCTCCAGGACACTGTCCTGGGACACCGTGGAAAGTCTTATAAAGGTAGTAGAAAAGCTAGAAGACCTAGAAGACTGTTCTGTGTTGACCACACTTCTGAAAGGATCATCTCCTCCAGAAGAGGCTTCAAAATATCCAGAAGACAATCCTTCCATTGCTCAATCTCTCCCAAGTCTGACTAACATGTGAAGGCCTTTGCAGTATAAAGCAGAGGCCTGCTGCTCCAACCGATCAGGAGCAAATCAAGGTCAAGTGTGCAGATATAGAACAACGTGCGTGCATCTGGAAGTCATCTTGTCCTATAAAAATTGTGTGATATCTTTAACTTACCTTCAAGATACTATTTAAGAAATTATTTTATAAACATTCACAAGGATGAAGTTTAAGTCCTCTGTGACTTTTGCTTATAAAGCTATGTGTATTTATGAGCTTCCTGAACCTCAGGACTCTGGGCTAGGCCACAGCAGGTTTCTTATACAATATATTGTTGATCCCTTCCCTGCAAGAGATGATTTGGCTCCTGGGCATCTACCCAGAACACCATTAGCGGGGATACCATAAAGACACTTGCACATCCATGTTCATTGCTACGCTGAGAGACTAAATGATGTATGTGTTATCACATATACAGAAGCTAGATCTAAAACACATAACAAATTATACAGGACTCTAGGCATTCACACAAGGGAGACCAAGGGAGGGCACTCTTAGGGGAGAAAAACAGGTGTAATGCCTCTGGGCCTCTGATCATTATAGAATAATATATATCAAAATGAACTCGAGGAAATGGAAACAAGAGGGTTTTGTTCTCTTTTTTTGTATTGTTTGTTCATTTTTCTATCTTACAGGGGAGGGTAAGGAAGGTCATAAAAATGGTGGGACATAAGGTGAACAAATGCATCAGTGGTACTCAGTAGAAACTATGTTGAAAATGAACTATACAACTTGTGGGTGGGGATGGGAGGAAAAAATGGGAGAGGACAAGGAAAAGGAACAAAAGGAAAGAAATGTTCTCATTATCTATGAAATGTACTCATTCATGCACCCATACCTATTAAGGTACTCATTACTTACGAAACGGTAACACCTCCGTACATCACCTTTGTAACAACAACAAAAAAATTGAGATGATTTGGGGGATCTGTGGGTTCAAATCCTGCCACTTCCACTTAGTACATGGATCCCTGAGCATATTACCAAGTATTTTCTGCTTCCTTGTCTCTATCTATAAAATAAAGCATTTTTTAAAAGTAGTTGGGCAGGGGACTTGGCTCAAGTGGTCTAACTCCTGTCCACTAAGTGTGAGTTTCTGAGTTCAAATCCCATCACTGAAAAAAATTAGAAAAAGAAAACAGTAGTATGTCTTAGACAGAGCACCCTATCCAGAAGGTATGTTCTGCTTTCAACTCAGATGGCTGGGATGCTTGGAATCTTGGATAAACAGTGACAAACCCTTCTTCACGGGAGGACATACAACTCTGTGAACCGGACTAACATTCTTCATTAAGAAGTGTCAAGACAAATTCCTAGCTGGGCACTACTGGCTCACACCTGTAATCTTAGTTACTCAGAAAGCTGAGAGCCGAGGATCACACTTTACAGCCAGTCCTGGAGCAGACAAATCGGAGAGATACTTATCTCCAATTATCCAGAAAAAAAGACAGAAATTGAGCTGAGGTTCAAGTGGCAGAGCACCAGCCCTGAGTGAGAAAAAGCCAAGAGAAGCTGGGTGCTGGTGGCGCACGCCTGTAATCCTAGTTACTCAGGAGGCTGAGATCTGAAGATCATAGTTCAAAGCCAGTCTGGGCGGGAAAATCGTGAGGCACTTATTTCCATGTTAACTATCAAAAAAATCTGGAAGTGAAGTTGTGGCTCAAGTGATAAAGTGCAAACCTTGAGCAAAAAAAGCTCAGGCTCTGAGTTGAAGCCCTAGAATGGTCTCTCTCTCCCACACACACACACACACACACACACACACACACACACACACACACACACACACACAGAAGAGCATAAGAGAACATTACTAAAAATGAAGAGGGCTATTACATAATGACAAAATGTTCAAGTTGCTACTTAACTAAAATAATCTACTGTTAAACAGAACTTATTTGATGGCAGTAGTACTAGGATTTGAACTCAAGTCCTTCCACTTACCTGTCAGGCACTGTAGCACTTGAGCCACACCCCTAACCCCTTTTTGCACTGTTTCTTTTCAAGTAGGCTCTAAACTTTTTACCTGGGCTGGGGATGACTTCAGATCTCCATCTTATGACCCATGACCTCCAAGTGGAGGTAATCACAAGTACCACCATATCTGGCTTTATGTAAATGGATTCTTCCTAACTTTCTGCTTAATCTGACCCTCAAATCATAGTTCTCCCAATCTTTGCCTCCCCAATAGCTAAGATTACAGATGTTCACTACTATATTTGGCCTTAAAGATATATTTTTAACATTTCTCTCAGCAGCAACAGTTAAAAAAATAACAATGAATAGATATACTCTGCAATACTTAAACAAAACCAACATATGTTTACATCTATAAAATAGAAAATCTTGCACCTCAAAACTAAAGAGTTGTAATATGTTATATGACTTTACAAAAAATACTAAAGCATAAAGCAGGTTTGTAAAACTTTTCAAAGAACTGGATGATAAATGGTATTTTCTCTCATCATAATGTAACCAGGTTAGAAATCAATGTAAAGAGAACTAATTAGTGACCTTTAGACAAAACTTAAACATAATTGGTGAACTTTAGATAAAACATAAACTCTTTTCCTGTCTTAATGTTTCAGAAATTCCTAGAGACAAGCAACCCCTGACAGCTCTTCAAAACCAACAGCTGGGAGACACTTGCTTAGGAACAGCCAGGATGACCTGACTAGCATCCCTTGTACCCGCTGAGCTAACTGAAGGCAGAGCACATGCAGACAGAATGTCGATGTACAGGGAGAAGTTAAGGCTCCTCTGATAGGCTCATAGGCCATCTACGTACACCTAAGCCACACACTGAAGCCAAGAAGAAGGCTGAGAGTGGGAAGGAGAAGAGAGATGAGCTCACCACACTCTTCTCCAGTGACAACTCCTTCCTCAGATTCATCTACTGGGACGGTTCTCAGCAAAGGCGTGAGAGACGTTTTGCTGGAATATTATAGATAAAGCTGAGCCCTCTTGTCTTTTCCTTCCATAGAGAATGAACACTGCTTTGGAGCTTCTCTGTCCTTGAGGAAGCTCTGAATATTAGCTTGCGGAGCCCTAAAGTCCAATCATGGTGGAACATGTTGACTTTTCTCCTTCCATTTTTCACCTCCTTAAGTTGGGTTAACTTACATGCAAACAAATGAACCCCCAACAAGGCTCAGGCTGAGCTGGGTGCCAGTAGCTCAGACTTGTAATCCTAGCTGCTCAGGAGGCTGAGATCTGAGGATCACAGTTCAAAGCCAGCCTAGTGAGAAAGTCTATGAGATTCTTGAATGTACTCATTATCTGGCCCATGTAATTGTAACTCCTCTGTACAGTATTCTCACAATAAAGAGAGAGAGAGAGAGAGAGAGAGAGAGAGAGAGAGAGAGAGAGAGAGAGAGAGAGAGAGAAGAGTGTGCTGGAAAATAGTAGAGTACTTGCCTTGGGCAAAAGAGCTCAAGGACCCTGACCACCAGGGAAAATCCCACTGAGACTCAGATGGAAGCTTCCGTTTACAAAGAGCCTTGTTCCAGTTCCTGCCCTCGGCACACATCAGAGTGCAGTCACCAGACACACTTCCCAGCTCTCAGAAGCACCAGTCTGACTATTGTGTATGTTTAGGGATCCCCAAGACCACACACCCCGGCAGTACTTCACTAAAAAGATTCAGGCCTCGAGGATCAGGCTAATTACAATGAAAGGAACATGACAGAATCAACAAGAGAAAAAGACACAGGCAGGGGCAGGAAAAATCCAAGCATACTTCCTCTCCTGAGAAGATATATCCAACGCGTTCCTTTTCCCACATGTGAGGGTTCAGTTGTGTGCATGCAGCGTCTCTGCATTAGGGAGTCCTGATACACACAGTTTTTATTAGGGGCACAGAAATAATTAGAATTCCAAACTCAAAGAAGGAAAAGAGGTGTACAGCTTAAATCACACTGTTTGCAGCCAGCCAGTCTTTTTGGTCAGGGAGTGGCTGTGTACCACGGTCCCAGACACTGGCCAAGGGCCAGCCTTGGGAGCAACTCTGTCATAGAATGAAGAACTGAAGTGATTCTAACCCAGCCCCTTAAAACGAAGATAAGAATAGGGAAGGCATTTTGTGAGTTATATTTTATAACAACTTCATTTGCCAGGTGTTGTCAATAACAGAGATTAATCATAATCAAGTAAGTTCCCTATGAGGGGCCTAGGGACCACTTCAAGGACCATGATAGTGTATACAGAGAAACATCTTTAAGGATGCTGGATAAATGACAGGTAGTCTCAGGGCTGGGAAGGTAGCTCAGTGGTAGAGCGCTTGCCTTGCATGCATAAGGTCCTGTGTTCAATTCCTCAGCACTACATAAGCAGAAAAAGCCAGAAGTTGTGGCTGGGTAAACAACAGGTTGTCTCGAGGCTGGGAAGGTGGGTCAAGTGGTAGAGCATTAGCCTTGAGTTGAAGAGCTGAGGGACAGCACCCAGGCCCAGAGTTCAGGCCCCACAACTGACAAAAAAAATGGCAGACTGTCATTAAATTTGACATGTTATATTGAGGATTTACTATGTGACAAGGGATGCAATTGGTGACAGAATGGTGAACCAAATAGCCAAAACCTCCTGCTCTCCTGCAGTTGCAATCTAGAGTGAGTAAGACACTAAGCAAAAGACAAAATAGGATGAGCAAATCCCCTTTGCCTGATCTGGGTGGCCTCTGATTTCCACATCCCTGCCCTGATAGGAACACCAGCTTCTGAGAGCTGAGCGGGGTTGGTTGATGGAATGAGCAACTTCTGCGTCTCTCTGGGCTGGCATAAACAATATGGCTACAAAAGGCCTCTGACTCTGCAGAAATACAACTATCCTGCCAATTGTGGAACCCGTCTCCACACAGACCAAGGCCATAGGGAACCCAAGGTAGGGACAAAGTCACCAGAAGACACACTGCGCTTCCTGCTAGCAGAGTTTATCACGTGCACAGTTTATTTGCATGTGCGCGTGTGCACGCGCATGTGCTTGTGTGCCCACACACTCACTATCTCTTCCCACCAACGTGGAATCCACCCCCAAAAATGAAGATGGTCACTTATAAATCACTTGGAAATTGTTTCACTCATTTTTTCTTCCCCAACTTTATGAAAAAAGAAAGAAAAAGTAGTGCAGGAATGGTGATAATGGCAC